TGTGTTGATTTTGTTTGTTTCCCTGATAACTGAATGCCTAAAGTTATTTTTGGTTATACTTTCACAATGTCTCATTTTTCATGTTACCAGAAATCTTTAGCCTATTTCATCGAAGGACACTATAAACAATCTACTGTTTACAAAGTAGCAAATATAAACCTTAGATACATCCTTTATAACTTTGCCTGATGTTTGACATTTGTCCTTAATGTTTGTTTACATTTACAGTAATAATTTGTTGATCATATAAAAAATAAACAGATTCCTTCCCTTTCTTATGATATTATCTTCTGGCATGAATGATGTGACTTGGGACCTTGATTTCAGATTTGTTTCCCATATTAACCTTTGGATTGGGATGCTTTTGATTATTCTATCTGAATTAAGATTAAATTAAGTGGGTGAAGAACAAATCGATTGTGGAGTCCTACTTATGGAAGTCTCTTTTTAGGGAGCTACAGCTAGCACCTGCTCTGTTAACTCTTGGCTTGAAGAAAATACATTTTTGTACTATCATGTTTTTTATGTGCCAAATTTTAACCTATTTTATCTACTGGTTTTATCTGTCCAGTTCTTCCCAGAATCTCCTTGGCTTATAAATCTGACACATTGGCAGGAAAGATCTAAAAGTTGGGACAAAGTGTATTTGAACTTCCTGCCAACACTCTCCATTGAGATGGATAAGATGTCTACATACTGGCATAGGAACTTTTGGAATCATTAATGCTTAATCTCCTTCTGTTCCTTAATTAAATCACTAAGCAACACTGTGTGACATTAGTTGGCCATTAAGAAGACTGAGATTTTTGAATGTCCTTAAAAAGATGTATTGTATAATCAACCTAAAATTAGGGACATTTCCATTATTAAGTAAAAGTTAATATTTCTTGTTTTAATTTGAAAATTCATTTGAAGATCAGCTTGTTATTTTGCTTGCATCTTTTTTCTAAGGTAGTGATAGTTTTAGAGTTCCCAAACTCATAAATCTTATGCAGGTATTCAGTATGGTACTCAATCTGTGAATAACAACAACAAAAAGTATCTTGTTCCCTCAACAATGTACATACAGTAGAAGTCATACCACACACACACACATGAACACCTACAGAAAAATATATAGGAAACCATGGTCACTTGATGTTTCCTTTCCCATGAAAGAAATCCTGTAAAATTAGAAATATTCTGGTGAGTAATTATGTAGCAGCTGGGCTACTGTGATACTTCAGATGCTCAAGCTGGATATCTGAAGAAATCTGAAGAAAATGAAGAGGGCTAGAAAATACATTTTGCACAGATTTTTCTTTTTAAATGACTTCCAAGATAAGCAGCCTTGTAAGATTAACTCCAGATGATTTCAAGAGTGAGGAGCTTTCAGGCTGAATAGCTGTGATCTAGTTTTCTGGTGTCCTGATGTTTTGCCAGCAGTTGGCATCAGAGGCAGAGTGACTTGCTTTGTAGTGTACTTTTTGGCAGCTCACAGGCAACTGAAGAGGAACTAACTCAGCTCTTGTATTTGAACCTGACAAACTGATCTTAGATTGGTCCATGTCACGGGAGTCCAAGAAAGCTTGGACTTGATTGGTTCTTTATCTAAGTAGACTTCTGATTGTTCCATTTTGAAGAAATTTCAAGAGAATCAGTACTTGATTATCCTGTCCTTGACCCAGGCTGCTGATTGGTTCTTTGTGTGGGTAGACTTCTAATTGGTCTATTTTGGAGTATTCCAAGAGAGCTGGTTCCTGATTGGCTGCTCTTTGAGCCAGAATACTCCTAGGTGTTCTTGCTGGTGAGGGTGCTGCAAATACTTTTTAGTCTTGGTGTTGCATGCAGCTGGGATCTATGTTTTGTTGAATTTCAAACCTTCCTTCCTGTTGAACTTGTTGGAATGTTTACAGATCTCAATAGCTTCTCTATGTAGTTGCACATGGTAGTTTGTCATGGCTGCCAGAACTTCTTGGTCTTTGAACTGGACCTTGTGTCCAGTATGAGCAGCACATGTTCAGCTACTGCTGACTTTTCAGGCAATGCCTTTCTTGTTCTTTTAACTAAATATTAATACTGTGTTTTGTGGCTCCAATATACAGTATATCTGTCCACAACTGCAGGGAATGTGGTAGATTGCTGCTGATGAAAGTGGATTTCTGCCATCCTTGGGAAATTGAATGATACCTTGAATATTCTTTGTTAGCTTATGGATTGTTTTTAGCTTGTGTTTCTCTAATAGTATTCCAATACGTCTGTGACTTTCTCAGTGTAAGAGAGAAACACCTATCCTATTGGAGACGGTTTGTCTTTGGATGTATCTTTATTGTTAATTGCATTCCCACCTAATCTCATTAGTTTGTGGAGCATTTCAAGCTCTACAATAGTATATTTCAAAAGAGTTATTGGTGAAAAGAAATAGCCTTGCAATTCAGGAATATCAGCTTTCAAATACAACTTTTCTATCTTCCAAATCTACTTGCAGAGTTTAGGGGACTTTTTTTCTGTCTTCTTTTCTTTGTGGATCTAAACTGATCATGGTTGTGGAGACAAGGGCGGGGAGAAGGTAATGCAAACTCTACTTCCTTTGTACTTCCATTGTAACATTGTATGCAAGTACTAAATGGGTGAAGCTTGCATTGTGACCTCACAACATGTCAGACTTTTCAAAGTAGACCAGATCAGGAAAAAACATACTTCATGAACTACTGCAACTTGTTTTTATTGTTGTAGGATATAACAGAACCTCAGAAGCCTATAAAGTTTTCCTCTGCTCCTCATATAATACAGAATCAAGGCAGGTTTATTTTGAGTCTCTTTATCATGCTTTTATGTTTACCAGGGCTGAGATGTTGTTTACTGTCTGTTATCTGCATATAGCTTTTGCATTCCTTTGCTAGCATTTTTTCTGCCTTCCTCTACACAATACACTGTCATTTTAATGAAACTTTTGCAGATGCCCATGACCTTGATGTCAAGGAGGTCCTTTCCAGTGGTTTGCAACAGCATAAGTCAGAGACAATACGTCTTTCTCTTTCCATCATTCCAATATCCATCTCAGCCTCTCTCCTTTTCCCAGATGCTAAATCAGAGGCACACAAAACGCCAACCTTCTCCTTTCCCCTCTATCTCAATGTTTTTGAAGGCAAGTTTTATAATTAACTAATTGCCTTTTTTCTTCTAACTTCTCAATTAAAAAAATGATTTCCATGATAGGCTGCCTTAAAAGGTCACTGTGATAATTACATCTCAGAATTACAATTAAAACAATTTTGTTCCACAGGAATTAGGATTGCAATTGGCTTGACTGATTTTGAGGATTTTTTAAAATTACAGTTATGTTGTGGTTTTACATGTATTATGAAAGTTTTATGGATGACTGCTTTGTTCTTTCATTTGTTTATGAAATGGGGCAGTATATACATTTATTTATTTATTACCATATTTTAATGTCACTATAGTCTACAAGGACTCATGGTAGTATACAAGATAATCAAAAGCCATAATGAAAATAAATACCAAAACAATACATTCATTACCACCCTTTATTCTCATATTAGATGTCAGATTTCCTGATAATTTGCTGTTTAACCGATTTCCTGAAAATCAAGATCAATGCCATCCAGTTTTCTGTTGGAAAATACTTCAAAGAATGGGTGCTAAGAAAACTTAAGTTTCCCCAAAACTTTTGTGGGGAGGGAGCCTCAGCATCCATATCCTCAACATGCATGGTAGCACTCATACGAAACAGAAGTCCTGCAAGTAAACAAGTAGCACCTGACCAGCATTTCGCAAAGGCATAGGGGGTTTTAGGTTAAAAACCAACACTTTGAAGTGTACCTTTCAGGACTGGTGTTATGTGCAAATCTCAACCACTATCTCAACCACTAATAAATAGATTGGGGGTTCCAAGTAGTCTTCAAAGAATCCCGAAGAGAGCATATTGTGGTAATGTAATTGGGTGGTAAAAAGTCATTTGTTGCTGCTGCTACATTGTTGTCTTCCTGTTGAGTGGGGAGCAGGGATAGTCAACGTACTAATTGTGGTAAACAGACTCGTTTCTGAGTCAGAAAAGCTGGACTGCTAATAACCTGCTCTTCAGAAAAACAGGGTGCTGATGTGTCTCCCTATCACTTACGCTTATACTTACACTAAATTCTTCCATTCACATTTCAGGATTGGTTACTCCATCAATATTCTTTATAGACATAGACAGAAACACAAGTCCCAAACAAACATGGTAATACCTCGCCTAAAGTGTAGTATGAAAATATAGGTCAACAAATTAAAAGGTATGTGTGTGGAGGGCATCTAACATAATACTGAGAAGTAGAAAAAGATCATTTGAATTATTTCTCATAATGTAGATGGATATAATAATGCTCATATTTACTTAGTGGTAAATTATACTGTACATCGGTTTTAAACTATATTCAGAATGAGTTTAAGGTTTGTTTGTAAAGAAATAAAAACATTCGTAGTCAACTTCAAACATATTCACCTTCACTCTCTTAATGCTATTTTAAAATTGGATGGTTGAAAAGACATTTGCATACATCACTAAGTTTCCAAATACCATGTAAATGACAACTGAAGCAGACAAAAGTTCAACACTTTACTTTTTTAAAAAAGTGTTGATTTTAGAAGCGTTTCATCAGATGTGAGACTTTGCTTTGAAAATATGTACCCATCATCAGTCTGATGATATGAACAGCAAATAAGCCAGCAATTCTTTCAGGTTGAAATAGCTTTCTTAAAAACAAAACAAAACAAAATAAATAAATAAAATAAAATAAAAAAAATGCACAGCAGGAATCCTTTCCCAAGACTAAAATAAATGACAAAGTAAAAGACCAGTCTTCCATAGGCACTTAATGAAGACATGCTTCAAGGGATTTTCTGTAGTAGAGATCATTTTACACCCCAGGACAAAAGAAAAACAGTACAGCTTTGCAGTCAGAAGCTGCAATCAAAGGAGAATAAAGAAAATAACAAAAACATATTGCTTGTTAAATCACTTACAGTGGTTTTCCTTTGGATTCACAAATCAGAGTTATAGATTGTCCTTCTTCTGGCCATAATGTGGAAGGTATTATTTTAACTGAAGGAATATCTGGAAAAAACAATATTTATAAAATTAGATTAAAATTGTATACACATTGTACTATGCAAATTATGAAAGCAAAATCAGAATTGACTTAAGGATGAGGTTACCTTGGATTCATTCAAGTTATGATTCTGAATCCAGGTGGTTGTATGAACCTGTACAGTGATTTACTATTTAACATTTATCATTAAACAACAGAGAATGGCTATATGGGTCCTAGATGGCATTACAATGTAGCAGCAGAACACCAAGGCTGTCTTTATGGAACTGTGTTCTGAGTGGCTATCAGTGTCTGTCACCAATAATACCGAAATTCCTTATGACAGAAATTGATATCCATTCTTCAAATGTTCATCTGAATGTTGTTCTTATTGACCATTCACCATGGTGTGCAGTGGGCACAGTGGTCTGACAGCAAGCCACTGAATTAGGAACTGCACAATTCAAATATGAAATAAACATGTCCCTATGTCTTTACGAAAATTGCTTGGTGTGCATGGCTGAACTATATTAGCATTTACAAATTTGAAATTGAAAGGTAATATACAAAAAGGAATTTACTGAAAAGGAGTAACGAGCACTCAAAGCAATTCTTTCTTGTAGATGGATGTGAATGTTATTAGAAAAACAACTGCATTAAGAGTGCATTTGAATAAGCATACTGACTGCTGGAATAACCTAAAATTGTAATAGAGGCCTTTAGATGGTTCTTAGATTTTTTTTTTTTTAATTGTTACTGGCATTATAGAAAGTATCTTTTTTGGAATGGAATACTGCTTCTAATACAGAATATTGTTTTTAATTTTTTTTTAAGCTAGATTTTTGAATGGTATTAATTATTAGATAAAATTATTACACACAACAGTGCATAATCTATTCTAAACTTTAAAATATGACTTGTGTTTGATATAATTATAAAAGCCAGCTGAGTCACAAACTCTTGTGTTTTTGTTTTTGTTGTTGTTGTTGACACACTTGAAATTGAACCCCAAAAGAAAAGGTGTGGACTTGCTATTTTTTCAAATGTTTAAACTGGCTTACTTACAAGTAAGTAAGTGGGTTACAAACTGAAAAATTAGAGAGAGTTGTTCCATAGAATTAGGTTTATTTTTAAACCCAATTGTTATCCAAGTGGCTCTTTTCTTCCATATAAACAAATGACAATTGGCTACTCGTTTAATACTAGGTAACTATAAGAATCCCATGATGAATGTTTTCTTGTGGGGAAAAAAAAATACTATAGAGAAAATATGTCTTAATTCATTATTGTTCTTCCACTTAAAAGAACTCTGTGAATGGTTCAGTGTATATCTAAAGAAAAGTTATAATGCATACAATCTGCTCATAGATAAACGTACAGTAACATGATGAAAATAAGATACAGAGAAAATATGATCTAGGGTGGATTTTACAGAACATCTTACATTCACAAGGCAGGCAGGGGACTCAGTTTGATGCAACAGTAAATTTGACCTGATAACAAGTTCAATTTTCATTTGGAAAATTGTACCACAAGCAGTCCTTGTTATGTCATTCAAGCCTTGTTATGTCAGCTAGAATTATTTCCTGCATTATCTCTCTTCCTATGGAAATTTTGCTGTTTCAAGCAACATCAGTGGACTTCTATTAGTACACCACACATGTAATTTCAAAACCACAAATGACAAACATAACATATAGCTTAATTGTAGTACCAGTAATATATCTAACAACTACCTGGTTTTGCTTGGAACATGGGATTTTATCATTCTTCTTCTTTTGATTTAGTATTTGATATTCATTTTTTAATTAGTGGTACTTCTTTCACAGCTTCTGAATACTTTCATATGGAAGCACAGCTTTCATTAGTTCTGTGAATAATCACTATTCACTGTAGTAAAATCCATTTCTTGCAATGACCTTGCTCTGACCTGATTACCAGCTGAACTACAAAAAACAGTATCTAATTAGCCCATCAGTTTATGTTCAAATACACATGACCTGCTTTATCAGAGAGATCTATAACCAAAATGCCTGATGTCAGTCACTCAGCACTATCTACTCCATCCATTCCTAGTAGCCCCTTCATGCATATTTTATTCATGCCTGAAAAGGGCTTGATGTCTGAAAATATTACTTGCATTTTAATTATATAAAGGCCTGGGAGTGGAAAACATTCCGAAATTTTGAATAGAGTCTAAACGAAAATTCAGAAAATATTAGGCTAATAATGCTTATTACATTTTTTGAGAATATGAAAGGAGTTAAGACAAATTATTCATCGAATAATGCAATGCAAACATATTTAATAAATAATTTGGTAAGCAATTTAGCTAAATTATATTTTTCTTATCCAGTGTGGAAAAAGAATGGAATCTATGCAGCAGCAATGATGCAACAATTCATTTTATCATTTCCAATAAATCTGTATCTGAGACTGTCACAGATTATATGGATTCTCCATGGACAGTCCAACAGGACTGGCTTTGCATTAGGCAAAGTATGGTAAACTCCTAAGCTTCTGGAAATGGAGGAGGAATGTCTGGCGTCACCATTCCATCTGAGCCATCCCCATCTTTCTGAGTAGATGCCTTTATGTGGATAGTTGGCCTAAATTAATGGGCAGTTTCATCAGATCATATTATCCAAATGCGTTGCAAACAGTACCATTAAGGCTTCCAAGAAGCAAACTGTCTTGGACATCTAGCTGAGAGCATACATGTACTCTGTACTTGTGCTGGTGTGCTCATAAGAATGTCAGTGCTACCATTCTGGTGCTACCCTAGCTACGCTGGATAATTTGTTTCAAGAGGGAATAAACATGTATTAGGAAAAGCAGCCTTGGAAACAGTATGATGATGTGCATCAATATTCTCAGTTATGTCTATCAGACTGGATAGACACTAAAGCACCATTCATTTAAAGTGTACATATTTGTCATCATACTTTTTATCATCATAATAGATGTTAGTTGTAGAGATTGTTCATATAGTTCCCATACCATAATGGAAGTCATACATTGTCTTGAGATTATGCAATTACATTTGAGATTCAGCAGTAATTAAGTCATTACAGAAAGATATATAAAGCTAATAAAGGGATGCAGCAAATATCCACAATTTTCATTTCTCAAAATAAAGTATCTGCATGAGTAAATTTGCATCCTAATTAGAACAATGATGTAATGTAGTGAATTACACAGAATGGGAAACTATGTTCAGAATCAAACTACTTAGGAGGTGAAAAATGAACTATATGAGGTGAACGGAGCCAGTATTTCAGTCCTGAATCAGTTTTCTTGGAATTGTTATATATGTGGTGGGATATGGTGTTTGATAGTCATATGATAGTTACAGAAAGTAAACCAAGTAAGTAAATGGTCTTGTCAAAATGAAGAAAGAATATTGAAAGATGGAAGAACAACCCACACATTACAATTATACATTAAAAAAATATTCTTGTTTTCTGCATTCTAATCTTCCCACAAAAGTACTGCCTATTATGAAACAGTGTGAGTGCACATTAGAAAGCTTTATTTAGTTCTTAGAAATAATATGAATTGCTGAATTCAATTAGGTACTTTCAAAAAGGTAATATCCTTAATCCCTTTGTGATCAGCTTTTCAAACACTTGATTGAATGCTCTGAGAATGGTTAACTATATCTCTGCTTTCTCTGCTATGCAGCCCTTGAGTATGAAAGTTCAATTCTACAGACACTGAGAAGGTGTAGCTGTGTGCAGAGAGGGACAGAGAGAGAGAGAGAGAGGAGGGAGGAGAGAGAGATTTTCTTTTCTAAAACCTGAAACAAACGGGGTGAATAGGTTTTTGTTTTGTTTTGTTTTACCATAAGCTTTCAAAAGTTGTGGGAGAAGTGTTGAATAAGAATAACCGAGTTTAATTGGACTACAGAATTGTCACATAAATATCCTTAAAAGTTCACACAGATTATCTGTTTCTGTGGTTTCTAAATAAACCAATAAAGCTAACAACATAAAAATCGTTTATATATAAATGGAGCTGTTCAGAAGAGCCTTAAAATCTTTAACTCTTTAACCAAGATACCTAATAATTTAATTTGTTGGGGTGAACTGTTAAGTTGAATTGATGTTTTTGATTATTGTTTTGTATTTGATTTCATGGTATATTGTGATGATTACAGGATTTAATTGTGTACTACCACCGTACTATACCTTGCGGAGTATGGTGGCAATAAGATGTAACAAGTAAGCAGATAGATAGATAGATAGATAGATAATATATAGAATTATATATTCTATAACTACATGCTTTTCTTGTAAAATTTTCTTTCTGATTTAAGAATCCTAGATATGCAGATTTTGCATATTATTTAAAACTGGCAAACTTGGTGTAAGTATAACTTTTGATCAAAAGCTACTGAAATAGTCATTTTTATTAATATACTGTAAGCATCACACAGTACACATTCTGATGCCCTCTTTGTGTTTTGGATTACAATTTCTATTGACCATACTCAACTTTAAAATTGGTCAGAGTTTATGAAAATTATAGACCCAAATACTTGGAGAGAAACTTATTCATGAAAAGTTTTCTTGATAAGTTACATGAATACATTCATTCCACAGAAACCAAAATAATGCATACATGAAAACAACTGAGCCAATTATTGAATCCTTGCAAATGGCATTGAGAGGCATACTGTGTCTGAATATTTAGCTAATGTGGCTAATTGCCATTTACAGATATATTCTAGGAACTTCTTTAAGTTAATTCTAAAGGTTCTGAATCATGAAAAGAGCTTCAATGAATTCAAAGTTTATTTTCAGAAAGTAGATTAGACAGCAGAGACTGGGACATGCAGGAAGCTCAAAAGTGAAGCTTTTGAAGTTCCACTAGATCAGTCATGTGGGGGGAATCATGCTTGAACAGGATCATAGAAATTAGACAATCTGGGTTTTGGAGCTTTCTAAGAACATCTCTGTTAAGGAAAATATTAATTTAGACACTATGTCATTTTTTAAAAAAAATACTATCTGGTGGTGGATTG